CTACACAGAGAAAAATATTGCCCCAATAAAAGCTTCTTCTGCAACATGTATCTTTTCTGCAGTATGGCTGACACAATGCCATTTTTATCCAATTCCATAGTGTAATACCTGGTACTGTATTTTCATTGTCTTTGGCTTTCAGGGAGATGAGAATATGGAACCATCAAGGGATCAGTGTGCTTATTACTACACTAAAGATCAAATTGATAATCTTCGAATCAGGTACAGTAATGTTTTGTGCACAGCATTAGAGAACATCATATATATGAATGAAATATTCAGTCAGTCATATGTCATTTTCTTTAACTTAATGGAGAAGAAAAAACACTGTACATTCTACTCATAGTGTTTATTATTATTATTCTTGTTATATTTAGGGGAAGTGTAAGATTTGTAGGGATAATACAGTGACTGGAGAATGGGTTGCTTCTTATATATCAACAGAAGAGTGATCTTCTATAATGGGACACACCATCAGCCACCAACCTAAGTGACAAATGAAGCACATTTGCAACACCTGGGCATTTTTATAATGACAACATTTTGCCAACTTTTGACTTCATCAATTCAATATTTGAAGGCTTTGAAACTGGCAACAGTTTTGCTAGTGGGTCCACCCACAGTGATGATGCCTTCAGCTGTTGCACTTCATCTGACTTATGCAAACAGCTATCTTCCTATGCTTTAGATTCATCAAGACTGTGATTGTGAACACCTTCGACTAGGCTGAGGGACTGATTATTTTGTCTTCTGCTGTCTCTGGTTTCAACACCTTCAAATAACATTAGTATTGCATTGATAAAACCACTGATTTGCAATATGTCTTTAGATTACAGGAGTATTTAACCTTATTGCGATTACAGACCCCCAATGGATTGCCCAGTATGCCCCCATATCCTCTTCTTCAGACTGTTGAAATTATCACCACCAGTCCTGTTAGGTACTGGTATGACTTCAAAAGATGTCAATTGCTTTGTTTTACTTTACAAATGGATAGCTAGGAACAGAACAGCTGATAGTTTATGCTAATCTAACAGCAACTTTTAAATTGTTCAGAGATTGAGTCCCACACCCCCATTATTTGATTCCCATACCCCCAAGGGTTATGGATACCCTCGGTAAAGAATCCCTGCTTTAGAAAAGAGGTATCCATGTGTTGCACACATGTATTATTCATCATCTTGTTGATATTATGCACTATTATTACTACCATCTCTATTGACTGTATTTATAGAAATAATCCAACACATTAGTAAAAATAGATACAAAATATATTTGAGTGAGCTGTTTAAAATCATTTTACCTTTTAAAAATAATGAAGTTAAACTTTCAGAAGTATGAGATTAGCCTTTAAGAGGTGGGCAGTATTTAGCCCGTAAATGGTCGAAATGTATATATCTGCTCTTACCGCTAGTGCCCCAAATGTATATAAACGTTTTATTTTTCCTGCTTTCAAATATGGCACGATTGGCCTAAGATGCCTTGTCAGCATAGAATGGGTCATAACACTCAGTGTGCACTGTATTAACCCTTTGACTGTCGAAAGGCCCAATCCTAAAGTGTCTCCTGGTGTCGCAAAATATTTGAAAAAAAAAAAAAAATTCTTATGAAAATGTTAAGATTATTTTTCTGATTGTTTTAGTCCAAAAAAAAAAATTTTTCCCATCAGTACTTACCCAGATATAGAGGCATGAAGTTTGCAGAAAATGAGCAGCGTATGGCAACAGCGGCGACTGCCGCTCACCCGGTAAACTTTGGTTTACTTGTATTTGAAGGTTTGTTGTTTTTTTCACTATTTTATTTTTTCACATAACTTATGTGGCCTGTGAGACCAAAGTAAGGTGCAATGTACATATATACACTCGTTGTATACAACACAATAAGCACACAAACATAATTATCAATATATTGTTTACAAAACTTGTTTACAAAAACAAACAATACAAAAAATTTTTTATTACTATTGTTCTATAATATATATATACCAATATACAGTCACTGAACATATTCCTATTAGTTCTGCAGCTTGTGGAACTCTTTGAAACATGGTGTCATACACAGTGGTGTTTTACACTCCTCACACATAAAACCAGTGTGTGTGCATTTTTGTGGAAGTTTTTTTTATGTGCAAAGACAAAATACCTCGTCTGAGCAGTTTTCTTCGAAGTATTAGCAGGCAGTTGTGTTATGTAGTTATCCTAGGTAAATGGTTGTGTCATCATTCCTTCCTGCATTCCTTTCCTGCATTCCTTTCCTACCTTCCTTCCTACCTTCCTGCATTCCTTTCCTACCTTTCTGCATTCCTTTCCTACCTTCCTGCATTTCTTTCCTACCTTCCTGCAATCCTTTCCTTCCTGCATTCCTACCTTCCTGCATTCCTACCTTCCTGCATTCCTACCTTCCTGCATTCCTACTTTCCTGCATTCCTTTCCTATCTTCTTTTTTTCCCTTCTTTTCCCCCTTTTCCCTTCCCCCCTCCCCTTTTCCCCTCCTCCCCCTTTCCCCCCCCCCCCCCCCCTCCCCCCCCCCTCCCCCCCCCCCCCCCCCCCCCCCCCCCCTTTCCCCCCCCTCCTCCCCTCCTCCTCCTCCTCCCCCCCCCCCTTCCCTCCCCTTCCCCCCCCTCCCCTCCCCTTCCCCTTTTTCCCTTCCTCCTCCCCTTCCCCTCTTCCCCCCCTTTTTCCCCTTTTTCCCCCTCCCCCTTCCCTTCCTCCTCCTCCCTTCCTCCTCCTTTTCCCTCCCCCCTTCCTCCCCTCTTCCTCCTCCCCCTCTTCCCCTTTTTCCCTCCTCCTCCTCTTCTCCTCCTCCCCCTCCCCTCCCCCCTTTCCTCCCCTCCTCTTCCCCTCCTTTTTCCTTTTTCCTCTCCCCTCTTTTCCCTCCTCCTCCCCCCTCCCCCCCTCCTCCTCCTCTTCCTCCCTTTTCCTTTTCCCTCCTCCTCCTTTTTCCCCTCCTTCTTCCTTTTCCTCCTCCTCCTCTTCCTCCTCTCCTTCCTCCTCCTCTTCCTCCTCCCCCTTTCCCCCTCCTCCTTTTCCCCTCTCCTTTTCCCTCCCCCTTTTCCCTCCTCCTTTTCCCCTCCCTTTCCTCCTCCTCTTCCTCCCCCCCCCTTTCCCCCCTTTCCCCCTCCAGTGTGTTTGTTAAAATTTTTAGTACAATTTCGTTCCTAACAGTAATGTGAAAAAAGTTTTTTTTTTTTGAAATAAAGAACTACAATAAACTGAAATTATCAGAAAAAAAAATATAAAAAAAAAATAAAAAATAGAAAAAAAGGGTAATTAGGAACATTCCCTGCAAGGGGCAGGCCCTGATTTTGCTGTCACTTGTGCACCTGCCAATTTCTTGGCCTCATTTCGGTAAGTCTGACCCTAATTTTTTTTTATCCTATAACCCCTGAAAAATGTGCTCTTATTTTCTTTAAAAAAAAAAAAGATTTTTTTTTTTTTTTCAAAATATTGGGGGGCACGGGGGTATGAACATTTTATTTTTGGGGACCGTTTACAGGTTACAAGGCAGGTCTACACCGTGTTTACACCTTGTCCACAGGGTTAATAATTTAAAAAAAAAAAAGTGTTATTTTCCTTATGAAAGGGTAGAGAATCTTTTTCTGGGGTAATAACAAAAAAAAGTATGAAATTTTGAGGGAAAATTGAAAAATTACCCTATCACAAATTTTATTTGATCAATTTTAGCATCATGATTTTGCCCTTTTGACCCTGTTTTGATCAATTTCAAATTCCAGTCAACCAAATTCTTAGAAATTTCTCTAGTATTACTTCTATTTTATCGATGAACACAAGAAAATCCCTCAACTTTTTTCAAATCCCCAAAAAAGTAATAAAATTTGGAAATTTTGCCTTTTTCCCCAACACAAAGTTCAAAATATTCCAATTTCTAAATAGGGTCCAGAATAAACAATACAGGCATTTTTTGGCACTAAAAAAACATTTCTTCTTTTTATTTTACACTTTGGTTTTACAACAGTTATTTTTTTATTTTTTTTTGCATAAAAAATTTTTTATTAAACACCAAAAAACAGAAGATTCCTTTTTATGTAATTTTGTAATAATTGTTAAATAATCCCAGGAAATTCGGAATGCTTTTAACCCCACCAGTTGATGTGTAAAACGTGTGAGTCATTTATTTACTCTTGAACTTTGGCAAAAGTCCAACATTTCCCGCTAATTTGAGCCATTTAACTATTTTTAGTGCTAAACCAAATCAAATCATCTCATTTCTGTAACATACTTCCATTTTTCAAACGAGACCAGAAACTGCGAATACAATTTAAAAAACCTTACGAAAATACACCAAAAGTCACTCTGAACCCAAAAAAACACAGTCGCATTTTTTTTTTCTCATTATGCACTGCTTGCTGCGGATTTGTTTTATTGGTGCACACTTCCACATGATCCATTTTTTCATATCTAGGCCCAATTTACTGCTCACAGCTTAATCGGTGACGGCCATGGCGTGACCTAAGGCTTGGACCCTGTGAAAGGGGGTAGAAAAAGGGTTTTGGACCTCAAAGGTAAAAAAAAATATTTTTTGTAGAAGTAAAGTATCAAAGTTTAACAAAATAAAAAAAGAACTATTAATTTGAATCCTTACTCTTTTATGGCATTTAAATTTTGATGAATTAAGCCTAGGCTTCACCGTGTGCATCACACAATCCCCTATATAATGTTTTTAACATTGTATTTTTTAAAGTTTTTTAATTTGTGTTTTTTTGCCATTTTTTTTAGTTTTTTTTGCGTAATACAGGAGTAAGGGCCACAAGCTGCTGAAAAGATCCTGATCCCAAAGGAATTGGAAAATTTCATCTTTCCTGGATCAAACCTAATTTTGTCTATTCTGCATGTGTTGTATACCCAAATGCTTAAAAACTTGCCAAAATAATTGTAGGTACATGTTTTTTTTGCAGGGTATCTTTGCAGCAATGACAGGGGGCACAGCTAGTGGACGTGTCTCCAAGATGGTGGAGGCACCAGGCATCAGAGAACTTAGGTGCTCTTGCCTCTCTTTCCATTTCTGCCACTGATCCTCCATCTCACACACTTACCAACAGGTCATAAATGGCAGCAGAAACTCTTAAGGTAGGTTTAATCTTACTCTGTTGTTCCTTTGGGGCTTTTTTTCCTTCGCCTGTAACAGGGGGCCCTTTTTCACACCACCCGCTCTGAAACCTTACTCATAGCTAACAACACAACCTTCTTAATATCAGGGGACTCCAGTGTCAAAAAACCATAGGAAAATTTAATTTAAAAAAAGTCCACCAGGATGATACCAAACAAACTCAACCTCGTATTGAAAAAGCCATTTTGTAAATTAACTTTTAGATCAAATTGTCCACAATAGACATTAAATCGACATATTCAAGTAACCTTAAAAAAAAAAGGGGAAAATTTCTAGGGTTTAAAAGTAGCAACAGACTGAAATTTAATTCTCATATTCATCAATATCAACAAAACTTCTAAAATTTTAGAGCTTCCCCAAAAATTTGTTTTTATGTTAAACCCACAACCCTAACACTTTTTTTTTTCCCTTTTTTACCCTACCTCACTAGGGCTGGGGGAAAAATATGTGGTCAGATGAATCCACATTGCAGTACATTCAGAGTCATCAAAGTAGGGTGAGGTTTCCCTTTTCCATCAGCAGGAAACAACTCTGCATACAGTGACATTGAGCTCCATGAAACACACACAATCTGTCATGGTTTGGGGTTGCTTTAGTGGTTTACTTGGTCGTGGGGGTTTGTACTTCATTCCCCAAAATTCTACAGTGAATGCCGACCTGTACATCACTGTTCTCGAGGACCACCTGCTGAATATTTTTGAAATGCATGTCTGCACCACCTTTATACATAATAGCACCTACCCTGTCACAAGGCCAGTGATTAAGGACATGTGTGCAAAGTGGAGTGAGGTAAAAAGTTTTGTGGAGGAATATCACCCAAACAAACCTGTTGCAAGCCATGCCTGCAACATGTTCAATGACAATGCCTTGTCTCGTTTTAGTCAAATCTTAAAGAGACACCAGAAACAGACCTCTCTGGACAGACTTTTTGTGCGGCAGGGGTTCAGTGACTCTCAAGCTATTCCTAGTGCCAGTAAAAGACAAAGAAGGGAATATATCATTGAATATATCATTGCTTAATTAATCTTAAGTTAATTTTAAGCCTGCTCACAATGCTCTGCATACAAGGAGCTTTTGGCATGTACACTCAACAACTGCATTTCTTTTGTACAACTATGTATCATGTCCAAATAATAATAAATGAATAAATAAAAAATACCTGAAGTCCTTATGGAGGGGGATTCCCCTCCCGAACACTTAACCCTCCTTCTCCTTCTCCCCTCCTCACCATCTTCCATATGCCAACAAGAGTCTTCAATAACAGTAAGAGTGATGTTAAATGTTCATGTATCCATTTCATTAGTCATTTATATTTCTTATTGTTTTCTGTATGTAAAACTATATCTATTCTCTATAAAATGTATTTTTTGTTAATATTTTTGGGTGTCTGGAATGGATTAATTGGATTTGCAATATTTCTTAAGGGAACTATTGCTTCAGTTTTAATACAATTTGATTTTCACCAGACTTTCTGGAATGAATTAATCACAAAAACCAAGGTTCCACTGTACTACCATATAACTGTGTATAATACACAAACAACCAGCACATAGAACAAAGACGCTTATGATAATGTTTTGGCCTGACTTGGATCATTGGCTAGTCACGCTACCATATAACTGTGTATAATACTGTACCAAGTATAACATTCAATCATTCACTATATGTTAATATTTCTTCCACAGTGCAAGTGAAGTGGTTGAATACAGTCGTTCACTATATGCAGATGATCCAAAATACAAAACACGTCACGAACAAGCTATCAAGCTGAAGAGGAAACAAGGAAAACAACGCATTTTTACATACATTCAACAAGATCATTTTCACTATCAGGTGAGGAGCTACTCACATATCCATACATAGGCTGCTTTCCTAACCTTTCACTATCCAGATCCTCCAAATTAATATTGCTTTCAATTTTCATAAACATGCATATGTTAATATCTGCCTGTTTCACCTATATACCATATATTTTGCCTGGAAACTACTTGCAAGGGAGAAAATACTATGTGCATCTTTCTCGGCTGTATCCTTAGCTTTGTCTGACAGCTTAGCTGATGAGAATTCAAATTCAAATTCAAATTTATTTATTTCTTTGCAAGTAGTACATTGAGATTATGTATTTACAATAATGGGTTGCAGTGCAAGGAGAGCCTCTATTATGCCTAGGCTTACTGACTACTTAACACTAAAGAAATTTATCATAGTTGTACAATAGTTCAATTAATTAGAAATGAATCTAATTTATGTAAACCAAAGGATGTATTCGTATTTTCAAATATGCCTTTTAAGAAACATGAAACATGATGTTATATCTGTTGAGAATGATGTTATATCTGTCAACCCTTAAACTGTCCAAACGTAGATCTACGTCCACATACGGGGGGGCTGTGAACGTAGATCTACGTTTTTTTTACATGCTTTCAAATGAGGACAATCAAGGTCGGAGCGCTACAAACGTGAACGTAAATCTACGTTTGGACAGTTTAAGGGTTAATAATAATGTTATACCTATTTCTAATGAAGTTTTATCTGTTGATAATATTGTTATATGCGAAGAAAAACAGGATGTGAGTATGGGGGAGGTGCGTGAGGCATTACGTAGAATGAAAGGGGGTAAAGGAGCTGGAACTGACAGGATCATGACAGAAATGTTAAAAGCAGGGGGGATATAGTGTTGGAGTGGTTGGCATTTTTGTTTAATAAATGTATGAAAGAGGGGAAGGTACCTAGGGATTGGCAGAGAGCATGTATAGTCCCTTTATATAAAGGGAAGGGGGACAAAAGAGATTGTAAAAATTATAGAGGAATAAGTTCACTGAGTACACCAGGAAAAGTGTACGGTAGGATTATTATTGAAAGAATTAGAGGTAAGACAGAATGTAGGATTGCGGATGAGCAAGGAGGTTTCAGTGTGGGTAGGGGATGTGTAGATCAAGTGTTTACATTGAAGCATATAAGTGAACAGTATTTAGATAAAGGTAGGGAAGTTTTTATTGCATTTATGGATTTAGAAAAGGCATATGATAGAGTGGATAGGGGAGCAATGTGGCAGATGTTGCAAGTACAGTGGACCCCCCGGTTTACGATCACCTCCCAATGCGACCAATTATGTAAGTGTATTTATGTAGGTGCGTTTGTACGTGTATGTTTGGGGGTCTGAAATGGACTAATCTAATTCACAATATTCCTTATGGGAACAAATTCGTTCAGTACTGGCACCTGAACATACTCCTGGAATGAAATAATGTCATAAACCGAGGGTCCACTGTATATGGAATAGGTGGTAAGTTACTAAATGCTGTAAAGAGTTTTTATGAGGATAGTGAGGCTCAGGTTAGGGTGTGTAGAAGAGAGGGAGACTACTTCCCAGTAAAAGTAGGTCTTAGACAGGGATGTGTAATGTCACCATGGTTGTTTAATATATTTATAGATGGGGTTGTAAAAGAAGTAAATACTAGGGTGTTTGGGAAAGGGGTGGAATTAAATTATGGGGAATCAAATACAAAATGGGACTTGACACAGTTACTTTTTGCTGATGATACTGTGTTCATGGGAGATTTAAAGAAAAATTTCAAAGGGTTAGTGGATGAGTTTGGGGGTGTGTGTAAGGGGAAAAGGAAAATGAACATAGAAAAAAGGTAAAGGGGATGGGAAAAA